GTTCGCCACATCTCAGTTTAGATTTAATATGGAATGATTTTGGCCCGGGATGCGGATGTTGGTGTGTTCTCCGGGCGGGAATTGTTGTTTGCAGACGTTTCGTGGGAAGGAGGAAACTGCACTGATGATGTTGCCTAGCCTGGCTCCTAAACGTCTGCATGTAATCTTGCAGCTCGGGGTAATCACCAACAGTTATTAGATTATCAACCCGATAAATGTTGTGCAAGCCTTGTTTGTGAGAATGAGCACTTAATTCGAAGTTTGCCCTACAGGAGAAATGTTTTTATTCCTAAGGTGTCAAATTTTTCAGCTGTCTCTAACGCACCTTCATTTAGGTGAGATCAACCCACTTCTGACATAAAGACTTGTTAGCTTTCATGTTTGCAAAACACTGAATACATATATCAACACCGCAAAAAGATTTAAGAGGTAATAACAAAATGGGTTTTGAATCACTGTCTTGTTTCATATTGCATTTATCCAACTCTATTGCCTCAAACAACTGTTAAACGAACCTGAGGATTAAAGAATCCCATCAGCCAAAATGACAATGGTCGAGTTTCTAGAAGCCATGAGAACAATTGGGTGCACCTGTCCAGTAGTTCGGTAAACCAGAATCCTAGAGTGGAACACTCCCAGGAGATCTGAAATTAGAAAATACACTTTGTTATGTTTGTCTTTAGACTTCTGTCGATAAACTGACCCAACCATTTACCACTTTAAATTCGGAAACAACATTTTGAAAGAAAAAGTAATTGTCACAAAGGATGACAAAGCTCAGTATCCCGAGTTGACCCTTCTCAACTCGCTGGCCGAGGTTCTAAGACATCATGAAATACAAATCGGAGAAGCTGCACTATGCTTACCGCAAGCCGGTGTTATATATATGATGAAGACACTCAAAGTTGGACAGCAATTCAGCCCCTGGCAGCAGTTTATATATATATATATATATATATATATATATATATATAAACTGCTGCCAGGGGCTGAATTGCTGTCCAACTTTGAGTGTCTTCATGTTCTCGGTCTCTGCATAGAACATCCCAACGTTTACACTTGCTTATCGAAAATATACCTAATGATTGTAACACGCTTTGTGAAATATAATAAAAAGAATAGTCACAATTTTATGGATTTTCCGGTAGATGCTTGTGTCCTGAACAAGCCTAAATTGGTGGTCGCAGACCACTAGAGTTACCAGAGCATTAGTTTTTGACAAATACATTCTTGAAAACTGTCTGACACATTCGAACAGTTGCCGTTGTTCTTTAACTGTTCAGGTTTCAAGGCTATTAAGAGTAGGAAATTTTATTAAAAAATACATGTATGTTGTTATTTGTATACCTTTCGTTTGTTTATCAAATAGGTGGCCCACAGAATGAGTTTTCATTCATTCAGTCAACATGCATACCGGATCACATAAAATTCGATATCTACTCGTCTCGGGGGTAAACAACAGACTGTTTGTTTTCACTGACCAGTATGACGACACCGTGAAACGCCCAATTTTATGTGATTGAAACAGATGAAGATCCATAATATGAACCATCTGATTGATAAACAAATAAAAACGATGTAAATGGTATCGTGAACTTATAACTTGTCAGTTAAATTTCTTACCCTAATTTGCATTTAAACAGAAACCCTTACCGAGCAGCACTTTCTACGCGAACGGATCAGATATTTGTATTGAGAAATACACGTAGCAAGTGTGCATGAACCCTGGGTGGTAGCTGTGCACTGGTCCCCTCGTTACACTCTTCAAAACAAAACTGAAAATAAGAATTACGTTGAAACAAAGTGTTCCCGGGATTTATTGATACTATCAACTAGCTGGGATAGCTCAGTGTGATGTCCGTTACGCCTTTGTGCAGTCTGTATAAAACAAAGCAAAATAGCTTTTTCATTCGGATTTTCGTGAAATCTAATCACAGCTAAAACAACTGTTATACCTACAATTTCCCGTCATAACAACTCTCATCACAATAATCCTTACTTGTTGAACTTTACGAGGGCACTGGCAGGAAAAAGAAAAAAGACATTGTCCCGTGTTGTAGTGGCCCGCTTGAAAATATGTGTAGCTCTTCATTCGTGGGAGAAAATCACATCGCAAAGCAAAACAAGTAAAATAGTCAACACCAGAATTAAAAATTCAAATACCGAGGTTCACTGAAACCTGTTGGAAACGACAGTGCTGTGATTATTTCATCGAGAGCGATCTTGATGGGCGTAGGCTGTCAACGCCTAATAGAAAAGCGGTAATTGAAACAAACACATAAAACGTGAGAACCCGCATCTCTGAAATCCACAATGACGGTCATCTGCTTCAAATGACAATTATTAGTAAGGAATAAAGCTAAATGTTGGAGCTAATACTGTTACCGCTTACTGATATGTCCCTATCACTTGCGCTTTTTTGTCTAGCGCGATATAGAAAACTGAACCCCCGAATCCACGGTGCAGCATTATCATAGATTATCCTAATTTTATTCGACTCACCTTCAACCACGACAGAGGTACTCGAGCCTCAAAAATTGCGTCCATTACTTCTTGCAATGATTGACTCATGACCACCACTCCTTCGANACAACAATTCGTTTAGTGTAGTCGAGACTGTGGTTAGCACGTGGTTCATTCGGTCCACTTCTTGGCGTAAGAAGATGGTCATGGGTTGCAAGGGACCAATTAATTCCAATCGGTCGCGCAATTTTTGTGGAGCGATCGGGTCAGGCAGCTTGGCCAATAACTCGTTAGACACTTGAATGATCACACTTTCTCGACTATCCGGTTCGTCCAAGCTCGATTCTCGTCCTTCAATTTGCATTTCTCCCATTGAGACTAAGTTACCATCTTTCGGCTCCATAGCCTGAATACAATTGATGATGTAGGTACTGGCGCGCGTCGAATAACTGGGCGAACAGAAATGTCAGTGATTGGACAAAAGGATAAGACGCATTCATTTTATCGCGTAGTATTTCTCTCATTTACTAGTCAGTAGTTTTATGTAAACCAACAACAGTTCTTCGTGTTATTGTCGGCTGTATGAACTAAAACCCATGGCAGAAAATTTTGAGGACTTCTTGAGGGTTTCCGGTACAAAGATACAAATATCGTGAAATTATTTTCCTACATCGTGATATCTTGCTCTATCCTGGACCCATGCATATTCCTCTAGATCGATTCGTTCAAACGGAAACTCTTTGTGCATTATTTCTTAGAAGTGGCCAATTTTTAGGATTATATATAAATATTTATTACTCATGTTTAAGTCTGGAATGTGTAGCAAACAAATCACATCGCAATGCGATTTACAACAAAGAAACCAGCCCTTAATTGCTTGCGAATGGAATGTCGTCAGATTGTCCTGGGGATAGAGGCGCTTGATGTTTTCGTACACTTTTCCCATACTTAAACCTGATACATCGAGCCAGACTGCAAGTGCTTTGTCCAGCTTGCCGAAACTAAGAGCTGCGAATTACTTTGCCAACTCTCCTCCAACAGGCCCAATGATAAACGGTTGAATGAATGAGTTGGAGGGTTGTGATCGCACTTTACCACTGAACTCAGTTTCGTCGAATGAGTTACACTTGAATTGTTTTCATGTCACCGGAATCTATGGGCGGTCGAATATATTTGTGCATGATTTGGCCTCGAGGATTGAGATTCTTATTTTTAACCAACAGTGTAATGCATTCAATTCAATATGCGGCGTTCAGTGAATAGGGCACCGATCATATTGTAAACTCCCGGATAAATCGCCATTGGTGGATTCACTTGAGGTTGAAAACGTATAGTTTGCTTTGTGCCTATTTTATTTCATATTATAGACCAATTTGCATGTTACATTTGGTTTACAAGTACCCCCTGTGTGATTGCTATACCAGAGAAATGGAAGAAAAATTGAACTGCAATGCACAATTGCTTTAACGCTGTTGCTATGTATTATGAGAATTTGTATGGTGGTTATTCGCCAGACACACAGAGGATCGTGCGTGGGATTTTGAAGAGGAAATAAAAATGCAATACAGGCAACAGAAAACTGCTCAAACTGTTTCACCTTGTTTCGCTATTATACGTGGCGAATAACTGTGCTTGAATAAACAGTCACAGACCTTGGACTATCTACAAATTTATCTTTGTGTATCCGTGTGGACAGCTATTAAGTATCCGCACTGTAAACTGCGTTACAATAACTTCAAAAGTAACAACGATGTGACTTACTCAATATCGGCGTTCGCATGCAAGTGAAATGCCTCTGGTGAATCTCGTGAGGGTAAGCTTTGGATGTATTGTTCGTACTGAGCCACTGAAGAGAGTCGCGGCACGCGATAATTGGTGGCCAGTTCGAACTCCGGTGTGAACATGGCCTCTTGAAAGAACACCTTGGTGAATGTGTTCAATAGACGCAGATCGAAGTAATCTGTGATTCGACCTCCATATTGAATCTCCGCAATCATATAGCGTATACATTTCCAGTCGATACCCTGTTGTTTTTTCGGGTTAAATGAAATGAATGTTTAACTGAAGTGCAAAACAGTCTGCTGGTCTTATGAACTAAATAAACTTCTCAAATCAGTTCAGTTCAGTTGTTACAACCATTAACCATGCAATTTCATGCACCGGTTTTGGTTGCTGTCTTTTTCTCAAATAAAAATATATGACCGTTAAGTCTATATATGAATGTTAACTATGGGGTTTTGAGTGCACGAGTCCGATAGGGTTACCGAGCTAGCTATGCCGAAATTTTGCACAGAGGATCAGTCATAGTTACGCATCTCCTTAATTTTTATGTGATCGTAGCTTGATATTTTGCAGACACCACAGGATCAACATTCTCAATGTGCGGTTTACTGAGGTAGATGGTAATTGTTTACAGTAGAATGTAGTCTGACGTATAAAAACGTTGAGCAGTAGATTTGCTCATGTAGATTGTGTTGTGCTTCCCAGGTAGGTATTGAGTAACGTTGTAACCTGCGTTTGGCCAAGAAGTGTTAGTCTCTCAGCATAGTGAGAACTCACCTTTTATGCCAGAGGTCTGAAGTTCAAATCTCAGATGGAATGGTGAATATAAATTGTTTGTGGACCTTAAGAGAATCAAAAATCGTGTCCAGTACGTCACGAGCGTAAAATTGTCTGAATGAGCTAAGGACTGTGCATCAGAATACAGTTTGAAGGATAGTAGCTAAAAGTCAATGGACGGCATATATCTCAGTGTTATGAATAGTGTCTATTCAGTATTTAAACAGATTCTTTGATTTATATAATTTCTCTCATGTTGTGTGTTTCAGCATGATAGCACTGTTAAGTGTTTGTCAGTTCATTGTTTTTTTTAGTCGGTAGTCAGATGGATAACCAAAATGCGATAACCGCAACAAAAGCACCAAACTTCATGGGTAACGGTGGTACAGACAGCAGACGAAAGGTGGATGGAGGAGAGTGGAGATCGGAGGGCCATAAACAAATTTGCAGTGAAATGTTGTTAAGTAGCAGAGGCAATGTCAATTTAGTGCATAGGCCAGATAAGAGTACTGGTCCATGGTTTGAGCCCTGTTTGAACTTATCACTAATGCGCACTTTTCTGGTGTTCCGAACAGTACTCAGAGAGATTTGAAGCCTTTACCTCCTACACTACACGGTCAATGATCAGCACTTTGAATACGTTTCTGTGTGAGCTTTTCGTATATTGTTTAAATGAGCTTGTATGAGCGCTGTCTATGACGTTCACGTCTTTTGGGAGTGGGTTTCACCCCTTGGGAGATCGTTAATTCCTTACGAAGTAAATACATTCAAATGAGATGGAAATGTTTATGATGGCCGACAAAGAGCACTGGACAGCTGTTTCGTCCTTTTTGGGACTCTTAAGCAATGCGTACTTTTGTGTTCCTGTCAGGACGTGAACCGCAAACATTCAGGGCGGGACTTCAAACTCTTACCCCTGAGCCACACGGTCGATGGTCAAAACCTTGTGCGAATGGCTCAATCAATTTAGAGTATCAAGCTTGGACTATCCCATTCGATTGTTCAGAGGTACCAGGCATTCTTGAAAATATGTTAAGTATAACTGGTGACGAGTTCATGTGCTTGTGAATTCTGATGCGCAAATTCAAACATAGCATTCTAACGAAGACTAATTAATGGTAAATCGATGGCTTGACCAAACGGGGAATTGCCTCAAATATGTTGCGCTGGGTTTTGTGGTTGGCGTCCACGGACCTCTTCCCGATTTATCCCCAGAAGCGATCGACACCTGTGCAAAACATCCTCTCTTCATTGCCATTACCATATAATTTCCTCTATTCCGAGTTTTCATGTTATTGAACTTTGTTTCAACAACTGCACATGGGCGAAAGTCAATAACCGCGACCAAAACACAATCACGAAAGCTCAGTGATGGGCCGAGCTAAACCAAACTGAATATCTTCCTTGAGCCTTTTATACCAATTTGTGTCTGTGCTTGATGTCTTCATCCGCTTGTGAATGGCGATACAGATTGATTTTAGTGATCGAATGCACACCACAATGTATGGAATGTATGTGCATTGAGATTTGCAGTTGCCTTTAAATTTGTACCTGGTCAAATGTTTCACAAACATTGCAAACGTGTGACTACCATTAAAGCCTCGAGAAGTTGCCTAAACGAACGTTGTCTAAGGTCATTGAGACCCATAAGGGTTCCACCCAGTCTTTACAAGCACACATACAACGGTCGTTTGTTCTGTAGGGCATTCACTGTGCTTAATGACCTGGTTGCAGTGGCATTTGAACAAACATGTTCGGCTCACTCTACATTGCCGTGAAGGCGGACACATCCCGAGAGTATTCGAGTGTTTTGTTTTCGAACAATCGACTGGTTGGTGTACATGTGCTGAGTTTTATATTTTATTCGACGATTTGGACATTTTGGCTTTGTGTTTGTGTGCGCGCTCGCTCGCTCCCTAATCAGGGTTGAGGTTCACTTTCACCCATAAAACTGGTTCATTTTACTTTGCAGTTCACGTTATACAGTGTAGTGTACAAAATGTGACTTACACTGTTCTTTACATTGCGTTTCGTGAACTCCACAAAGTCGATGTGATTCTGTATGAACTGGATGCTCGCATTGAAATCCGATTGAGTGAACTCGTATGGAATCGACCAACCCGATGGACCGTATTTACGTCGTTCCTGCAAAGTGCAGTGTAGGAAAGCCATAGTGTACAGCATGACCTTCCATTCGCCACCGATACACGCTTCCAGACTGTCCTGTGTCACGTCCGCATATGTTCGTCGTAAACTGGCCTTAATACCTTCCGGTGGTTCATTGCTAAATTTGATAGATATCTGTAAAAGATTCACCGGAAACCGTTCATGCTCCTCGGTTGTCATCCACAAGCGGAATGTGTCTTGTGAAGTGCTTGTTGCGTTTGAAGTCGGTTGGGTCGTCGTCGTTGAATGAGACGCTGGCCCGGTCAGGGTTCCTGATCCACTGCCTCCACTGTTCTCCATAGTTGAGGTGGATAAATCTGAGACCAACCGATTAAAGATTTTTCCGGAGCCAGCAGATTTTGCTACACTGTCGATAATTGTGACGTATAACTCGTTCAGATAATCCACGCATAAATGGCAATTTTGTAACAAAACCCAACTTCCATCTATTTGTGCTGCCTGGATGGCCTGTTTAGCATGAATTTCCTGACCCTGGCCCATCGATACCACTTTCAAATTCACGTGTTTTTTGTGCGCTAACTGCTCTATCAGTTGAGTTGGATCGGAACCCATGCTGAGAAAATTTATGATGGGTGTGCCTGGATCCGCTTGTTGATATAATCTATAGGACAGTTTTGAAAACGGCAAAAGTGAATCGTATTCACAGTTATGGCTGAAATAAAATTAACAATTTAATAAAATTTACAAGAACCTTTTAACGTAGGATTCTTATCAAAATATGATAATGGGAAGTTAAATACACACAACGAAATGCATACTCAAAAACTGTAAACCTCCAAACCGTTTAATCTAAACACTATACTCAGCCGAAGACGAGTGCGACCTAACGACACGTTTTCACGTGAGTTCACCACGGAAAGTGGTGTTCGTCAGGGTTGCTCTCTTTCTCCTTTTCTATTTAACTTTGTTATAGATCTCATTATGGAAACAGCCCTATCCTCGTGCGAGGATAGTGGCATAGATTTACTTCCAGGTGGCAGGCTGTCTGATCTGGAGTACGCAGACGACATTGTGCTACTGAGTGAAGATCCAGGTAAGTTGCAAGCATTTCTGGATAACTTGAATGTCAGTGTAGCCATATTTGGTATGCGTTTTGCACCTTCAAAGTGTAAAATGTTACTACAAGACTGGGTTGGTCCAGCACCCAGCCTCACTCTCACTGGGGAAGTAATAGAGGAGGTGGATAAGTTTTGTTATCTGGGCAGCTACATCTCACCCGGTGGACGCATCACGGACGAAGTGTCAGCTCGCATACAGAAGGCTCGGTTGGCATTTGCTAACTTGAGACATCTGTGGCGCCGTCGCGACATCCGGCTGTCTGTGAAGGGTCGAGTGTATGCCGCGATAGTTCGGCCAGTTCTGCTATACGGTGCAGAAACTTGGCCATTAAGAAAACAAGATAAAGACAGACTGTCGGTGTTTGAACACCGCTGTCTACGCAGCATTGCACGAATCTGGTGGGGTAGCCGGATGAGCAATGCTGAGGTTAGGGACAGAGTTTTGGGTAAATACGGTCGCCCACTGGAGCAAGTGATCGACCTCCATAGATTACGTTGGCTGGGACATGTGCTACGCATGTCACCAGGTAGGTTACCACGGCGAGCGATGTTCGCCGAAGAAGATACAGAGTGGAAAAAAGCCAAGGGTGGTCAAGTTAAGACCTGGCACGAGGGTATGAAAACCCTAACCAGGAAACTGGGTCACATAGGTCCTGTTAGGCTCCCTGGCTGGGGACCTCGGGATGATCGTAACCGATGGTTAGAGACACTGAGCGATATGGCTGGGTGTCGTAAACAGTGGCGTTCGTGCATCTCCTCAATTTCTTCCCAACCTTAGTCCACTGAACTTCTCCATTTTCCTTTCGAATCCACTTTCAACTTTCCTTTCTTCTCCTATTCTTCATCCCAATGGGCAGCCAAAAGACACGAACTGAACTGAAACACATTTTTTCGCAGCATGCTTAGAGGCGCCCCTTACTGAGAAGTTGGATATCAGGAAGCAAGTAACCGTCCGAGAGTTTCAGTGATGGTAAAGTATTTACACTAATATAAACTGCTCTTATTCTGTAAATAGACATTGGGGACTATTACAAGTGCTGCCAGTGGTTAGTGCTTCTTCTCTACAATCCCTCTTGGCCATCTTCAAATAGCACTTGCCCCGATGTGTATGCTTTTGTCAAATGGAGAATGGGAAAATTTTGATTTTCCACTATGTGATGACCATAGACTGAATAATAATAAGCCCAATCCATCTAGTTGCACACGTGCAAATGCAACAAACTGTTTGTGGACACACTGTGCAAACCATTCATTCCAGTTGAGTACGAATCGGAGTAAGACTAACAACCATCTAAGTACAGGAAGAATGCGACTCATCCTGATTGGAAGAGTGCAGAAATCCACCCTGTGTTGACAGTGAACAATCAATCGAGTAAAACGGATTTGGAGATGTGCCATCCCAAGGTTGCAGTGTATTTAGAAAAAGCAAAGCAAAACTCACAACACCTGATTCTCCAACCCCCGCTAGATGTACGTGATATCTACGGTACTTCGATGTGCGCCAACTCATTTGGTTCGTTCCTGATTTATGTGAACAAAATGAGGAATAGATATGTTTGTAGACAATGTTGATGGTTTAATTTTGAGTGCATACTGCCAAACCGTTCGAGCGTTCAGAGTGATACAGTAGATGATTTTGAATCGTACTTTAGTAATAAGGGGGCTGAATTGAAAATTGCCACAAGATGATGCTACTATGGGTTTATTCAATTTGAGAATATAGAAAAATGTTTAATCTTTGTACTGTCATATGGAATTTACTTTTCCGGTTGAAGAAGAACATCTTCAGCAAATATCGGGCCCAGAGCGTAGGAGATAAATCGTTTTGCTTGGGAAACCATCCGATCCAGGCACCAACATCGTATCAGGATCAGTCGGGTAAAAGGTTTCATTTGTGTTTCGTACGGACCCGGAATCGGTACCTCTTCTGGTGCGTCTTTTTCAAACCAATGCCTCCATTGGCGTTCGTGTTGAGTGACCTGAAAGTGGGAGCAATAGCAGAACAGCAAATATTTAGGTGCGGATCTCGTATGAGCAAACCTTATCATACTCCTGTCTGTTAAATGCCAATCTTCCCCCCCCCCCAAAAAAAAGTAACAGTCTTGAAAGTGTTTGCACTTTTTAGATAACAGTTTCGAATATATTTGTAGTGATAGTAGAAGTAGTAGTAGTGAAGTTACGCACAGAATTCAGGACACGAACTACGCAATAGGAATCACGGAACACGAATTAGAAAACCGATGGCACTGGACCACAATGGCTCGAACTCGCAATAACCCGCAGGATCGAGATGCGAGGAGAAAAGCCACAAGACAGGCGAATCTCAAAGTCGTTTATTGAAGGAAATGAAAGTGAATATATATGTACACAAGAAAAGATCATTGGCTACCTTAGTTTCCACCAACAATATTGCATCACATCTTGCGTCATATTGCTCTTCTCTGCATTGTATCTGATTGGCTGGAACGGTGCACCAATAACGTGTATCCGGAGGCTGTGCACGTGCTACTGGCGTCAGCGCTTAAGGTCGATTGACTACCAATGTCCGGAAACTGTACCGCGCTGCTCCAGGGCAGGTGTGATCTCGTAGATCCGAATCACCACAATATTACTTTTGACATTGTTCCTTAGAATCTCTCACTGGGTTGTGTGTCAATATGTCTGGCTGACTCATTTATTGGTTACAGCTTGCCGTCATAAAAACACATTATTACCATTGAGTAGGTGGTGTTGCAAAAATCATTCGATGTTTGTAGGAAGCTGGCACAAAATTTTAAACCAGATGGACCATTGTCAAAAGGTTATTCCGGGTACTGAAAAACTTTCACTTCAAAACTGAGTGAAAATCGATGACTTAAACGATTTGAGCTGACTATCTTTCGGACTTCACCTTCACGTACAATTCTCAGTTCATCGATTCAACCATATACTCAGAAGTATTAGTTTCTAGTTTCGCTCATCTGTAGTGCACAACCAACATCCCGTCCGGGATTTGAACTCCGAACCCGTCGCATGGAAGTCTAGTGCTTCCAAGTGTATGGTTGAATCGATGAACTGAGGATCGTGTGTGAAGGTGAAGTCCGAAAGATAGTCATCTCAACTCAATAAAAATCAATTATCCCACACCACTACTCACGAGTAACTGTGAGTCAAATGCAAAACGACTTAAACGATGCTGTCTATTGTTGGTACATGCGAGTGTGAGATCAGCATGATGAGTTTCCCGTGGTGGAAAGGGAATCAGTATGGAATCGTTAATTGGTGCTGCTAATTTAGATCAGACTGATCTCGAAGCGTCCAAAGGATATCATTTAGATCCAATAATTCAGATTAGTTTTTAATACGAGCATCCATTTCGTTTTGATCAGATACCGCTTGATGTCTTAGTTTGCAGGTAGTCTAGTATGTGAAATACGTGGTCCCAGTCAACTCGAAGAAAGAAATCACGGGAAACTCACGTGATTCATTATCCCGGAAAAGATTGGCAATTTGGATAGAGCCTTTAGGTTTATCCACGATATGTCCGGAATCCAACGTCCCGGTTTGGGTGGGCATTCACTTAGAGTGCACGCAGATCCAGCCTTTATAAATATATCCAACTCTTCGTGTCTAATCAAGCCCGCCTGACGCCATATACGAATCGCCAGCATTAGTGTAAAAATGATACGGTCTCTTTTGAACAAAGAGCGAACTATGAAACGCCAGATAGCGATAGTCATGAATTGGATAATTTTATGTATTCGATGTTGTACTGTCGTGGATTTTTCTGAATAGACCAAGGACTCATCAAAGAGTTTGATAAACTGCGACAATCCGTGTTGGTACATAATGTTCACGGTCGACAAATCCGATATGAGGAAGAAAAGAATTGAACCACGCACCGCAACTGGGCGATATTCTTCTCTTGCGCACTCGATTTCAACTTCTGTCTCGGCAGTTTGAGCCAACTGCTTTGCTACCACTTGTGCTGTATTCTTCGTCTCCTGTAACATTTTGATAAGGTCAATATCGTCCACCAATGAACCTTCGCAAGAAGCCAATCGATGAAGTAGGTTTTCCTCAAGCTGACTAATCTGACGTTTTTGTACAGCCACGCTGGAAATTAATTCCAGTCTTGATTTTTCGAGTTTCTGAAACATGCAAGAATGAAAATCGGGGTAACAGGGCAGCTGAAAAATCACCAATGTTTGAAATACCTCCTCGTCCCTCTCTAACGAATGGAAAATGATTGAAACTTATGGGGTTCATTGAAAGCTAACGCACAAAATCAATGAAATAGACTTGGTTCACAAAGTAAATCATTGTTGACATGAACAGACTTCAAACAAGCCTTTAGTGTTGTTAATGTTGTTTCTGCTGTTAATAAGTTGATCTGACTGTGAAAGTGGGACATAACTGACTGTACACAAACCTATCGTAGTGATCTGTGATTTGTAACTAATGTTTTTACCTGTAGTAGCAAAACCGAAATTTTGACTTGGGTCCTTTGAGAATGCGATTATTTCGGGGATCGAGAGGTACCGATGCACCGATGTAGGTCAAGAAATACATGCCGGATCGTGAGCTCCAGAGGGATTTTAACTCCATCCCATTCTAAAGAAGGTCTTAAGGAGAGGGAAAACACACCACGAGAAACTTCTGAATACTTCCCTGAACGGGTAAAATTAGCCCTGGAAATTGAAGGAAATGTAAGAAACCATCAGTCAGCTTAAATGTGTTCACCAATTAAATGACACTACTGCTGTTGCTGATGGTGAAGGTGTTAGCAAACCAGAGACACTCCTCGCGCCATCAACCTATTCGAAGTCTTTAAGTTCATCCAATTGTTTATCTATTACTAAATATCGCCTAAATAGTCACTTACCACGCGTTTGTTTTTGCTACACTCATTGTTTGATTATTAAAGCGAGATGTTAAGAATATATGATCAAAGCAGGTGATGTGAGATCGTATCCCAGTGGTAAACCGGTGGTTAAAGACGTGTTTGAATCTCAGCATCACCGCCTGACATTCCCATTACGGAAGCCCTTTGATTGACCTCTTTCCCCTTGAAAATTACATCATTGTATATTCAATAAAAGGAGTAAAAAGAAAGAAGAAAAGGAAAAATGTTCGGCTCACACAAAATATTACGAATCAATTTTCCAGTAGATTGCTTGCATTTTCCCTCAGGAATATACTCAGAAAAAACCCTTTGTAAAAAGGATGAATTAAACGAGGCGTGGAGTTTGCCATCTGTTGTGTATGTTTTTTCTTAGCTTCTGTAAATTTTGTCAGATCTCTTCATCCGAATACCCAACGCTTTGGGCATCCTTCACGGGAATGGATATGGCATTATTACTATTCGACGAGCTGCATACCTCAAAGCCGACTTTTGAAGGTCAGCGTTCATATTCATTGGAACATTTTTTTATCCATTCATGTCTGTCAATTTTCATGTGAGCAGTGTGCAATCGCATCATTTTTGTTCGACATGGGATAAGCAATTATCATTTATCATCATATTTACTTCGCATCTTATGAAATAAGGTAGGCTACTTAAAAAACTTAGATAAACCCGAATAAGCATTTCCGTGAAACAATAATCATTTATAACAATGACTCAACTTCTGTGCTGCTTCATATCAAACTGCTTATCATTTTGGGCTGTGAACCCCGAAATACTTCAAACTTGAACCTTAGAATAAGGTCACATCAATCCAGACACTGATGGAACAGAATTAGGAACGTCTCAATGGAAGATAAAGTTCGGACTAAATGGTCTTTACCCATGGCTATCGACATAATACCAAATCAAGTTTGTTCAGTGCAACGGACAACACGGAAAAGCGAAAAGAGATCGGCGGTCAAACACCAAGGTTATGCTAATGTGACTAACCATTCACGTTGTCTGCATAAATGGGGTTTGTGATTAGGACTATACAAGTCACCCTGAGTGTTGTATGGATGCGTGCAGATGCAGCGAACTTATCGCAGACAAAGTTCGTAAATTTGCTTTTGTTTGGTTGTAGATGGCCAAATATACGTGTCATTGTATTACGTTTATTATTTCACCAAATATGAAAGTCACCTTGACTGAAGTTTGCACGTACAAATATACAGTGAAATGATCATGCATACATAGTGCAAGCTCATGTATCTCATGTATCTTCAAATTTATGATGAACAAACAGTGCTTTAATAGGTAACTTTGAACATCGAAACACAATCAGCCAACGTATAAATTGGACTATTGATTATCGTTGTTCTCTGAAGTTAGCGTAATTACTGTTCGGGGCATTCTGTGAATCAGTACTAAATTTGGGTGTTCCATTTGTCGATCGATCTTTGTGCATTTAAATTCTAGCGTGAGATGCAGAAAAAAAGAATCCTTCCCTTTAATGGTCCCGTTTGTGTCGCGGAATGTGTCATATTTGTTCATCTTCGTTGACATATCAACCGCACCATTTTTACTTTGAGAAACTTACTTCACGTTCCATACTGATCACACGTGCGAGAAGTTGATCTTCCAATCCCTTTGGTGTGATACTGAAGTCAATCAGCGTCAAATGTGAAATCAGTTCCGGTGGAAAATTGGGATTGGCCATGTGAGTAGCGATATACAATTTGAATCCCGGAAGGATTGTGGTTTCTTTGTCACCTAGTTTTACCTTTGAGGAAAACAAAACACAAAAATGTACCCTAATGCAGCAGTTTCTTAACAGGAAGGCGTTAATGCAAATTTATCAAATATCATTCAGGTGAGATAAAGAATGATGAAATGAAAAATAACAGATAGACAAAATCAAGTGAATACTCAGGATTCAACAACGAGGAGGGCAGTGATACTAACCGCTCCTCCAAACTCGATGATGATACTGATTTCGGTTAGTCACAATGAGGCTTTAGTTGGTCAGTTCAGTCCGATAATTTACTCTTATCCAATTATTTTTATATGTTATTGGTGTGAGCTACTAGAGATTTTAACTCCATGAACTCTTCAAATGCCACACACATTACCTACAAGTTTCCTTACAGCCCCAGTGAGGTCTCCATAGGAAAACCGGATCGAGCTTTGACCAGACGAATGGTGAATCACATGGAGAAATGTGTGTTGAAGTCGATGACATAAAACACTCTGATAATGCAAATAAAATTAAGGTCTGAAGATTCATCAAAAGGTTTTGGTTGTTCAGCACATTTACTTGGATTTATACTTTCTTGAGCCTCGCCACAAACATGATTTAATTATTCATAAATCTGAATTAATTCCATCTAGGTTTAAAAAGAATTCACTAATCTGGAACTTGTTTTATTTTTCACTTTCGAGCGAAAAATGTTGCAGCAGATTTGTTTAGAAGCGAACAATACTGGTGTCCTCCAGGAAATACATTTCAGGCCAACAATTTTGGCTGATTACACTCTTGCCTTTTTGAACCGTCTAGGTTATTCCGCTCATTTGATATGAATCTTGCGTAGATTGTGTGGAGTGATTTTTTATAAGTACACTAGTAAATTGCTAAATGTATTTTAATGAAGCATTTTTTTATTTAAATGAAGTCACGCTTATCACAACACACAACGACACAATGTGTAAAAAATTGTCTCTCATGTACCCACTAGCTTCGGTCGCATTTTTCCCATATAATCGATCATGTATGGACTGACTCTGAACCAGTATTCGGGGTAGGCTGTATCAAATACCTCGGGGTTTTATCGACGATGTTCTTCACTGGACCGCTCGTACTCAACAAATATACATTGAACTTCGACAACTTTTTTCCATATCCGTAAACTTCGTCCGTTTTTAATCACACAGTCGATTATTTGTAAATTCCTGCACAAATGTGTTTTACCGGTTTTGAGTTATTGTTAATCTGGCAGTCTGACTGATTGTGTAAGAAACTTTTGTGTGCACACAGGACTGGGTTACGTAACTTGATTAGCATCGCTTCGCTAAACGCCAAAATCCTGGGATTCAAGTTACATAATATCTTATGCATGCAGAACTCATCATATCACAAAGTGGCCCGATGGTTGGTCGACATTTTAGATCTTATTCGTAAAGCTCTGACGCCTCATTGTATTAAAGACTCNAAGACTCTTTTGAACTCGCTAATTTATTAGACAATTTTAATTTATCTTCTCATAAGATGTATTCTATTGATGTTGATTCACTTTTTACAAATGTTCCTCTCCATGAAACAGTGGACTTTTTATGTGATTTTATCACTTCAATAAATATTCACCTTTCTATTCCCCTAGATTATTTAAAAGACTTTATCAATTTTTGAACTGAAAACATACTTTTTGAATTTGAAGGAACTGCGCACAGACAAATTGACGGTGTAGCAATGGGCAGCCCAACACTAGCCGATGTATTTCTTGGAATGATTAAAAGATGATTGAATGATAATATTTCAATGTCTGTTTTGTACAAACGTTATGTTGATGATATTTTGATTTTTACCGACCCTGAGCATTTTAACACCATTTTAACACTTTTTAATACTATCCATCCCAACCTCTCTGTTTCCCTTGAGGAGGAAAAGGATGGTTGCTTGAATATTTTAGATATAAAAATCGGGAGGCGATCAGATGGAACCTTACAAAGATCCGTCTACCGTAAGATTACATGCAGGAATCTTGTAAGAAATTTTCCATAAAGTTTCGCTCTTGAAAGGATTACTGAGTAGAAATTTCCATTTAACTCTCATGATATATGCTTTATCCCTAAGATGAATCATGTTCTGTCTGTATAAATCGGTTCAAAGAACATCAGAGATGCATAGAAACTCTTTTTACCTCCAATAATTGCATTTTCTTGAACATCAAAACAGGCATTTTTACCAGATTTTCCCCACATTGTACCGGTGCAAAGATATGGAGTTTATTGAGCAAATTGGTTTATGTCTTCTTTCGGTAGATACAGCAGCGGATAATTCTATACTCTTGTCTCGTCAGTATTCCATCCCAAAAGATAATCTAATCTGGTTTTATATCGGCTTTAAATTGTACAGACTTATGAGCGGTATTTGAATTTTGTGGCAAATCTTTCATATCACTTCTCTGCTAACCATCTAGCCACAGAATGTTATGAGGAGTATGCAGCTGACAGGACATGGCGTATACGTACTTTACTTTTGTTAAATTTTGGTGGAACATATAACTGGGATAAAACCAGCCTCTAGGTTTTATTCATCCGTACATCTCACTCTCTATTTACTCGTTTTGGTGAATCGTCCTTAAATGTGCATAATCCACCTATTGATATTCTGTACACTACCCTTTTTACCTAGAGTTTTGCCAAACTTAATCATCCAGTCTATTACTATATTATATTCTGTCTGTTACTAATATTCTCGTCCATGTATCAAGACAACCAACCGTCACATTATCATTTTTGACCAATTACTTCAGTTCCTCTATCTATCTCTTGGTGACGGAGTCAGGGACTCCGGCCTTAGGTCTACGATATAATATGAGAACTTAAATGGACTAACGCAGACTTGAATATTTCAGGGTCTGTAGTTGGGTTGGCCATTATTTGACATTTATTTATATTTATATTTTATGATATTAATATTATATTTTGTATTATTTGGCATATTCAATGTCAAGAACTTCATTTTTTGTATGGGGGAGCAAATGACACAAATTGCTCTGGAAATTTAGGAAATTTTGAGAACAGTTAGTCGCTCTTTCGTGTGTTCCCCGTGTGATTAAGAGTGTTTTCCATAGGTTAGGCACTAATCAGATGGTTTGTTTATTGAATGAGAATCAGAATCAGAGCATGCAGTTACAAACAAAAGGCACTTTGAGGAAAAAATACAGCTTATTGTTTCTTAATTTTGCTTTTCAGATAATGAACGTCAAAAAAATGCCCATGGTTTTGTTAGTTTATTACAGCGTTGGTCAGCCTGAAAACACGTGGACGTCGCTGTGAATTCCAATCAAATGTTGAAATGAGGAAGGACGCAGAGTGATCACGCACTGAACTGAATGATTGATCTCCATAGATCAGAGTGGCGGGGCCATTTACTACACAAATTACTGAATAGGCATCCATGACAGGTGATGTTTACCGATGTAGGCAGTAGTTTGAAGAAAACCGAGGATATTCATAACATGACCTGACATTGAGGAATGAAATCTGGGTGATATAGTTGAGTGTCATAACCAGTGACACGTAGGTGTACATTCATTATCTACTTACATCTAGCGCACTTGCACTCCGTAAATACATTTTGATAAGCTCTTAGTAATTCTCTATTATTTTATATATAGGACGATCGAATAATTAACTGAAGCACAGCAACCAAAACAAAGGCCTGGAAGTTTAAGTTCAATTGCTTGTGCAAGCGGAGACTGTGACAAACAATACCAGGAGTCTGACTGAGTTAGGACAGTATACACGAAGAAATAATGAGCGCGAACTAGTAACTGGTAACAAATATACTAGCTGCAATGGGTTCATCAAATACCCTCAACCAATGCGAAAATGGAAGCATTCCGACGAAATAAGTGGTTAAATTAGCTTCAAGTTACTTATTATTCTCAGCGACTTACTGAGGGCATGTCACTTGTATGACGTAATATAAGAGTGATGCTTCGTTCGCACAATGAGCACTCACTGTTTTTATCTTGCCGTTTACTGAACCGCTGTAATCCACAACACAGGCTATCATAGGATCCAAATCTTCCGGGGCATCTTCGATCAAAAGTGGTTGACCATAATTCAGCGTGTCTTCCAAATGTTGAGGAAATGATCGATCGTTGAATGAAGTAATCTGTGGTAAAATGGAACAGACATGGAAAATATTAGACTGCAAACGTTCCTAGCCGTTACACAGTTTTTTATCCTTCCGTTTCGGATTTCATATGTCAAACCCGAAGTGGGCATGACATGCACGTACAGAGTAGTGTTAGTAGAATACAAACCGATGATACAGGGAAGAGCTCGATGCATGCCTCAACTACGTGAATTTGTTTGGTTCACGATAACTCCCATTAAAAAGAATAGTGACTGTGATTTACAAACCCACCGCAGTTTCTGTTTGTTGTTCTTTAGATGCTCATTCGGATGAAGGAATGGAGCGAAGATTATAATTCTGGTGAAGAGAATTGGGGTCAATAAGGTTGCAATCAGTATATCGTACCGTTGCATCTAACTAACCAATACTATTTCAGTGGCTTGAGGCAACTTCATGACTGATTCACCTAGCCAGAACTTTCATATTAGTATACTAGGTCTTAGTTTAACTATCTTGCACTTTTGCTCACTAATTTTCTACCTGGGAAGCTTATTAGGTGACAGGCCTAAAAAGTACCCAATCAAACGAAACCTACCCAGTTTGAGTACTTGCTCCAATACCCGACCGAATTTGTCGAAAACCTGCTGGTAACCTCACAGGTGCCCAGTTGCCCCAACGGATTCGTGAAGTGCGGCGTAGACAGTGGTGTTTAAACACCAACAGTTTACCTTTATTATGTGCCCGTCACGATCAAGTCTTCGTACCGTACAGCAACAAGGACAGAATAACTGTGTTGTGAGGTACTACTCACATATGTGAGTAGTATGCAAACGGAACCGTTGGATGTCTTGACGGCGCCATGGTTCACCAGAGTGGCTAATACCAACGAAGCCTCGTGTGTGCGTGACTCCTAACTCTTGCGATTTTTGGCTGCTTGGGTTACAAAATTTTGTTTACTTTTTCTGTTGCGCACATAGGATAGAGTTGTGAGCTGGACTGCTCTAGCACTGTAAAAACATTTCACTCTTTAAGGGCCAAAACACATACCAAACGTAGCTACATTCTGGGGTCATAGTGTACGATGCCCGATCCATAATGGATTTTACGGGTCCTCATGAGAGGATTGGCTTAGCCGATGTTTCTCAACAAATCCAGAGCACTTAGTATCACGTGCTTCAAAATGATCAGTTAAGTGGTCAATTTTACGGACCAGTAATCCCATTTTTTACATGTGCCCACTCTTAATCTCTAGCAGCCTAAACAATGAAAACACGATTCCCGAACGGCAACCACCTTCGTCACGGCCCAAACTGGATAAAGGTTTGTTTGCCTGCCGATATACATCTTGGAAGCCCATCAATGAATCCCCGGGGGAAATAATGTTTAAGAAATAGCTGAGGCCGCGATTGAACTTACTTTTTTCTGATTCACGCGAAATGATCCAGTACTCAATGTGTCGAATGCAAAAAGCAATCCAACTTCGAGAGAAAAAGGGGAAACCCACTTTCTTTCAAAGGCCTAAAAAGGACCAATTGTTTGGTTTCTGGACAATAGTTCGAAATGGAGTATTGGGAGATGTTGCGTCCAGACCTACGGTTCAAAGCGTGCGACCTATCCGCTTCAGTAGTTATCGCGTCGAAACCAGCATTCATGGTTGATTGAATAATTTAAAACTCTGTTGATAAACCAGGAGAATACTAAATTATCTCACACTTGTAGGTGATCGTTTCGCCCCCTTGTTAAGTGGGTTACAAGTTTTCCATTCAGTTAGTTTATTTGTCTAGCTTGTGTAAGTTTGTGCTGACATTACTGTGACTGCAAACATAACAAGACTGGACAGCATTACTGAGTGAAATTTGTTCAGACGGGACTTTCAGACAATCAACAACAAAAAGTAACACATACTCCAGTGGTAATTCTCCCTTCAAAGTAGGTTTTTTATGCAGTTTAAAGTTCATGTCTTTAAGTCTACCTTCAAACTCCCAGCTACTGGCAAGTAGCGGTTTGAGATAAACTTCATTGCAGGATTATTGAAGAACTTTTCATCCTGGTTTTACATCGTCTTGTACCTTCAACACGTAAAATCACACAACTAAAGTACCCTCTTACCCTCCCTGTGAACTGATTAGTACATTTTCTACGATATGTGCAACCTAGAATCGCTCAACTTGACACGAGAGTATCTGATCACCAATCCGGAATGTTTGTGATACTCCTTTTGTTACCTGTTGTTTGGTCGTATGATGATGGCACTCCTACCGTACACGTTCAAAGTTCAACATATATTCTAACGATTTGAGGTGAGCGGCTCGTGCTAACTGGGTAAGCGTCACACCCCTTGTTGCAGTTGGTCCATCTCATCGATCGGTGAATGAACCCGATCGATCTTTTTTGTTAAACCCACATAGGAAAATTAGTTATGTATCCTGTTATGTTTGAGTTTTGCAGAGAAATAACACAGTAGATTATGGATTGGGTTTATTCCACCAAAAAAGGTTCATTCATAACTAAGTTGCTCTTTTGTCTTTGTCAGTAAGGATGCGGGTTAGCTATGGAATAGGGGGATTTTTTGTAAATGTTTATTTTTTGCTGGAACGATTCGAAAACTCGATCTAGTTAAAGGACGGGCCCAACCGGCAGTTAAATTGGAATAAATAGGATGTATGCTCGGCGAAGAGCTTATCAAGGAAACCTTCATGAGAACCAATGCGGATGTCACAGAGCTTGGTAACAAGAGAGTCCATAAGAGTAAGTTAAACGCTATTCGAGACAGGATGAAGATTAATGAAATCTTTTAAGTAATTGGTCCAGATTTGCCTTGAAACAAAAACAACGTTCAGCGTCCACGAATTTGTACTTATCTGTATCGCTAGCTTCCGATGAGTCTATCTGCGATTGGCCTGGTTGGTTTGTGGCCATTTCCATACTTTATTGAACATAAGTGAGTCTGCAGCCTATCCAACAATCAAGTAGTTTGATGCCGTTATAAAATAACCGTGATTGAAGTTACGTCAAATCCTCATGTTACGTCTGATCGGTAGTTGGATCCGGGAATTGACCTCGTTAAGATGAAAAGCAGTTGGATCAGCTGCCCTGTGGTTGAGTTTCTAACATGCCTGCCTTCTACTCATGAGGCCCTTGGTGCGATGCACTTTTGGGTCGATGGATTCACTCTGCTGCTGGGACCCAACCAAATCCAAACAGTTATATAATACTTCCTGGCTTTTCAGTTCATCACCTAACTGATTCAAAGCCTACACTTCTCTCATAAAACTAATCTCTCTGGATTGAAGGGCGAAATTCGACCGATATTCAATTGAATAGGTGAAATGAATTGTCAGTCTCTAATGTCATGATTTTCAATCGTGAGAGGAACAATGGGCGCATGAAAAACGATACGAGTAATGTGATCAGCTGCTTGGCTATCTCGAATAAATATTCACTCACAGTGAGAGATTTGGCGTGAAGTTTGCAAAGCCACTTTTTTCCTTGCTCCTGTGGATCAATTAGGAGTGGGTATCGCAGCGATTTTGTAGTAATGATTGCGTTGCCGATAGAATGTTCATCCATAGGGAGGCCTTGCAAAGCCCATTCGTTAATCTGTGAGATACAGCAACCAGGTAGTGATCAGTATATGAATAGTTTTAATTAAAATGAGTTCAGCTGTAGGGAATAGTTCGGTCTTAGAGTTTAACCAGTATGAAGACTGGAAACACTGGCGACCCAGGGATTTTTATTTAGAGACAACTATCAGCATGACAAAATATTCCTGGAGATCTCTTGTATTTGATGAGATCATCCTATTCTACAAAAGTGAACATAGATAACAACTATCGGTTCATCAGCAGAGAATCAGTATAGTTTGAAACTTAAGGAGGACCAATTATCTTGAAAAGACTTGCCACAGATTATTCACAAATATCTTGAACAATTTGAGTTCAGTGGGATAAATATTAATTTAAGAATATGTGTGGAAAAGCGAAACAATTCCGGTGCAGATTTACACAAATCATATGTCTTATTTGAAGTGTAGATAGTTGGTAATCGTCTGATAGAATATTTCATACCTCAGATATTAAAGGTAGAGATAGAAAAAAATGAGGATGGAATCTAGACGATGTTTATCTCTGTGTGTGAAATCTCAGCAGGTTGTAATGCAGCTTTTGCCTTGAAGAGCTTCCGTTCTGAGGTCTTAGAACGCTGGAACCGATCAGCCAGTCATTCATATGTGCAATTGTGTATTTGAGCTTGTCCTTTTCAGTTCTGAAAGCATCTTCAAGGTTTACCCCTCAGTCATTTTAGTTTTAGTTTGTTAATGCCTCTGTGAGCCTGCTGAAGTAGTTTTAGCCCGCCATGGAGACGACAACTACGTCTTAAGTGGAATTACTTTTTTCAAAATTCCTCTAGTATGCATTCGAACACTTCAGATACTTGATCGGACAACCATCATACGTTATCCATTCAGCAGATATATGTGGATAGTTGTGCATAGTTGAATTATCTTCCCTAGAAATCGGTCGCGGTTAAACATGTAATTTTATAGTCGTTATTGGGAATGAAGAATACGGCCAATGGGCTCATCCCAGTCAGTATGACTTAAGCATCGACGACTCTGATTGAGCGTCAGGGCAGGGGACGAATTTTCATCAATTAACCTGCGGCTGATATGAGACGTAGTCACAACTGTCGACTATCTCCTGCAAATCCTCGCTCCACACGTTGGTCCAGTAGTCCAAATAGCAAAAATTGGAATGCCCACACTAGTTGTTTGCATGTCAAGCAAGCTTGATAAATATAGCTTAGTTTACATAGCTGAAATGTAGAGACAACATGAAATGCATTCCGTCACTGGTAAAATACAACGCGGTTTGCGGGAGTTGACGGAAATGGTTGCATCACGGTTAACTATTTGAATAAACCCGGTATACTGTGCTTTGTATATGAGTAATATGTTTCAGTTCTGATATACTTATATTTCACTTGGGTCTCTCTAAGCTGAGAATCAAGCAATTCACGGTACAAAAGTCTTTACAACAAAGAGAACAGTTCATGATTTACTAGTGGACGGAATAATCACAAGTTGTAAAGTTCAGAGCAGATGAGTTTTATTCGGGAGTTCCCATCAAGAGTCTTCGTATAATCAAATCCTGACCCGAAAGGCTGCGGGTCGGTGTTTGGAAATCGCAGTCCCTAGGGAAACGGTGCCCAATCCATCGGATCATATGCCTTTCAGAAGGAGACAAATGTCCAAAGTGTCCAATAAGCCTCGATGCCCAATCAAGCCAGTAAAACCTGCCTCAACTTGGAAGGCGTGCCTTGTTCCTAATTTTTGCTTCGGTTGGTTTGGAATCAGAGTTTAGTGTCAACCTGCCTCAGATGGCCTACCAGTGGTTCGTTGACCAGGTTATAGCCCCGGATTTCGACTTTTCGTTCTGTCAGTGTAGGTGGAACTCAACTCAATAAAGCTTAGTCGAGATGCTTTGTCGTGCTGTTTGAATGGTAAGGTCACCAAACTATCCCCACGGAGGCAGTGTTACAAGCCCACAACCGTTGCCCAACTTTCTCCATTCTGTGTTGTTTACCAGCCTTTTGATTTTCCACTTCCTTATTCTTCCAAATTGTATCATTCAAACAAGAGAGTAAACTGAAAATAAAACTGCATAAGTAACTAATATAAGAAAGAATATACAACTTTTTAATGTATGCAGTGATTTCTGTTTTCACAGCCTGATTGATTATTTATCATGGTGCGTAAAAGTCCTAACATAATTTTCATTTATGTTGATTTTAGACTCAGGAACCGGTTGTTAATATATTTCAGTGGTTGGCGAATGTTCTGAATAGTAAGCGAACATAATGATGACTAAAAGATCTACCAATCAGCACCTCGTTGATTTGTGATCAGCCTTTGATTAATCCAAAATCCGTTGTGCGTTTTGCATGAATAGTTCATTTTGCTTCCTCAGCACCGCTTTTGTCGTGCAAGATGACTGGTATCCGTAATGGGAATGGATACGATTATCATTTGACCAGTTACTGGTGGGTTCATCGATAGTGATTTGAACTGACCATCCTTCAGACTTCGTCTTCATGCACAATCCTCAACTCATCCAGTCAACCATACACTCAGAAACACTGCAGACTCCAGTCTCGCTCTTATAAGAGCAAATCACTGACTATTCCACAACAACCAGTTTATCTCAACTGCACTTGGTTGTTCTCACTGAATGGAAAGTAGTTTGCTATAGAATAGTCAAACTTACTGTAGCTGGATCCACAAATAAGGAGATCACATCCAGTTTAGGTCGATGGGGGAGATTTTGCCGAACTACTTCCAGCTGCCAGCTGCTCATCAGTCGATTCCGATACTGCTGATTGAATGCACCGCTGTAGGTGAGAAATGCGGCCAATTGAATACAATCACCGCCAAGTTCGTGAAGCTGAGTTTTGAGTTGCATTGACTGTTCCGTCCAACGTGCCAGTTCTTTAGAAAGCCCCTCAATCAGTTTATGAGCCGTACACATACGATTATAGCATACGTTTGCCTCTTCTTGGATTCGCATCTTCTTGAGCAATGCGTCTTCGTACTCTAACTGTACCTTGGCCAATATCACCGTTTTCTCCATGAGTGAAACCTCAGTGGATTGCAGTGCAGCTTTTGCTTTGACCAGCTTCTGTTCCAAAGAGGCCAAATTATCCTGCAACGGGATTACCGTTCGACTGACCCAAAAATATCTTATCATACATAACGTCCACGATAATAGACCAGCCACATTACCGCACACTTTACGGGCCGTTGGCATATTGTAATCGGATGAGTTGATATATGGTTCCAACAAATCAATAAGCTCCTCATTCATTTGATGCTTTGGATAGTTCAAAAGCAGGGAGAGAAAATTTGGGTTGTGTATCATACGTAACGCTTCGTTCCACGAGGATTGAAATGTTCCACGATCATGATCCGGTCGAACTGGTTCGAGCCGCGCATAGAACATGAGTAGAACACAATCCATGACACGCATGATGAGATACGGCGGTTTCTGCAATTTGCGTAACATACTGATGTCGTGTGGACGCAACGTGTTCAAAGCTTCTTCAGCTTCCACCAAAGAAGGTATCGCCTCGGACAACTGTTCCTGTGTGGCTAATCGATCCGCATTGATGCATAGGACAATATTTTCGCATCGCTCCTTCACTTGTTGAACGCGATTTCGCACCTGTTCGGCAACATGAGCCTGTTCTGTGACCAGGATCAGGACTTGTTCAGCTTTCTCACTCGCTTCGGTCAGTTCAGTTTCTTTTTGTGCGAGAACAGCACGCAGTTCATCAATGGATTTCTGTGCCTCATTAAGTTTCTCTACCCCGGATTCCATGCGGACTGCATTCAGATTGAGTTGTGCATTCAGCTCATGATACGTCTGTGCGACCAATCAAACAAATAACAGATATCATACAGGAGAGTGAAATATGTTCAGCCAGATTAGATCAGATTAGCTTCACAAACCTTATCCTTATTATTACAGGACAGTGTGAATTTAGTTGTTTCAGGTACACTCAATCAACTGCACACACACACACATTAGGAAGTACGGTGGTTATCCATCCACAGGAGTACATGACAGGGTATTAAGTAAATAAGAGTCCTCAATATGCCTGAATCCTGTTCAAAAACGTCATGTCATTTAGAGCTATTTGGATTTAAACACAAAACGTCTCGGTGGATGTGTAAACTAGCCACCTTATTTTTTCGGAAATAATTCAAGGATTGCAGCACGTCCCGAGGAGAAAACTGTAAACATCGCGGTTTTTATAAAGCCTGATATAAACGGTAAAACTCAACCACTGTGACACTCACGTTCAATTATAAATATATATCTTATATTTATATATTTATTCATATATTTATTTATTTTTATTTTTATTTTATTTTATATATATATTATATATTATATATATATATATATTATATATTATATTTTTATTTATATATATTTATATTTCACACACATGTTTGAGGCCAGACTTTGTTACAATCAAATCACGGTACAATAACCTCTAAAAAGAGAAAAATTCCGTTCAACTGATGGGTTAAACAACCCCATTTTATTTGGAGACCACTTACAAAAGCTGTAAATGGAGATTTCAACAACAACAAATTGCGGAAGAGCATTTTCGGTGTTTCACCCTAATCCCATCAAAGTCCTGTCCTTATGGTGATCTTTATTCACGCGCTTAAACGACAATGTAACGGATGGAATTACAGTTCAGCTACGTCTGAACACAGAACAGTATTAGAAGCATAGCCTTTAGAAGGAGTTGTGACTTCAATTGTGTCACTGTGGGCCCGTGTTGTAAATTTTATTATTACCTTTCCTCCTTTCTTTAAATTATATTCATTATTTATTATTATTATTTATTTATTATATATTATATATATAAATATATCTCTTAAACAGGTTCGTATACCCTCTTTGAACTTTCTGAATGTGAGCCGAAGCACTGAGCCGTCTCTACGCATGACGTTTTCGACAAAGTCCAACTTTTTTACCTTACATTTATTTTGTAATTAGGGTTCACCATCTAAATGATCAATCAGTTTTGCAAACAACAGCTGCTGGTTACCTCTCACTCGGGGTGGGTGGGGGGGGGCATTAAATAAAAGGTGAATCGAGATAATAGTATTTTGTCTACCATTAGTNCAAGATCCGCTCAGACAACGACGCCACAACCAAACTCATCAGGTCACATGATTAGCATGACCGTTTAGCTGGAACTGACACAAAGGGTTTTATCAACCGACCGAGCAATGGGAGGTGGTTGATATGACCAGCACCCATTCACAAACACAGACACACCGAGGTAGTTTTTTTCCGGGGTCATAGGACGTCCCAGGACTGACTGAGCAATGCACTTGTGGAAGTAATATCACCGGACCGTCAACTACCCACCTAATATGCTCTGGCCCAATGTATACAACCTTTGGTTCCCATAGCATTGTGAGTTGATTCAACAACTGCTTACATCGTCCAGTTTTCATTCCATCGATCGACCACTATATTTTAATTTAAAAATCCAGTATTCAATGACCGCAATCCAATGATTTTCATATCATTTGCAATACACTAACCATTAAAAAACAATAAATACTAGTTTACGGCATACCAAACTGAATTCTTGCCTGTTTTATCTGGTCCAAAAAGGTGAGAAAATTCTGCGGGGTCACAGTGATTCGATGACGACAAACGGTGAAATATTCGTGGCAGATCAAAACCACAGATGTGTGTATGTTCGCAACTGTCGATATATAGGCATCGTTAAGTGGGGGAAATTCACGGAGAAAATGACGGGCCACGCTTAGCAACGCCTCCTGAGGCCATTCATCAATCCAGTCAATCACACAACCGGCCAAGATTCCCGGATAGTTTGTAAACCGTCGGCGGAAATTATTGCCACACGGGGAGAAACAAAGGACCAAGTGCAGATTCATTTGCACTTGATTCCGATAGTATTCGTACAACTCTTCGTGCGTCGGAGTCGCTTTTGGGTTATCTTCATGAAGACGTTCATCCAATTCGGTTATGACATCATCCATTTCCTCACGTGTAAATAAATTGGGAATCTAAAACAGAAAATAAAAGTATTTCATTCACTTGAATCACTCGATATTTCTCACATTTTGCCGTATTGAAGAACCCACGTTTCTCAATTACATTAAATTAATCCAAATAAGTTGGTTTGATCAATAATACATGGAGATTTTAATCCTATAAGGAATGAAATCGATTGAAATCGACTATGATACTCTCATTGTGGGAGTGCATTTAAACGTGGTAAAGGTTAAAACATATAAAGTAGAAAATCGAGAGTATCGGTATTCATGGTTCGATGCGAAATTCATTTTGCTGTACTTTTCAAATGGACAGCACGGAAAGCCCCTACTCGTAGAATAACAAGCTGGCAAGTTAAAATAATGTGATAAATTTATTTTTAGTACTTTTTTTATTTAATGAATATACAAATGTACGGTCAACATTCAGAAGGGAGGGGGCCCTGCCATACAAGACTGCCTGGCAAGACGGGCGGCGGAGGAGCGTTTCGAACCTAGTACTCCCAGGTCACAAGCTGGTGGCCTGACCACTTGGCCACCACCGCCATGATATATATGCATATAGTAAATCTCCTACTATGTCGCATCCCTCGGGAATTCGAAAAAGTGGGTAAATTCCAGGAACTGAGACATAGCACATTAGGCCGTAGTTGATGCTATTAAGTAGCATGAAAAATCGTTCGGGAGTTTTATGACAAAATAAACCGGATCGATGAAAACTACGCTAATTCCGTTACTTGTGAAGTGGCCATTTCACAAGCACTGATGATGTTACCTCGGCTGGCGATGAAACGTTTGCAGACAAATTGCCATAGCTCGGCGAACAGGCGAAATCGAATAAATATTAACCCATTCGATGAAAACAGGAATGAACCAGGTCGAACACGGGACAAAAAATCACATTCGATGGAAATCACGTCACTTAAATAATTGAGCTATCTGTGGTGGGGTATAATCAGTACGTAAACTTCTTTCTCATATCTCAAACTGATTGTTCGTTGTGCAATCTATTCATGATTTTCCGGTGAAAAATGTGTAGCATTAGCTCTGTGGACATATTCTTTCGTTCGCTTTTGTTGCTGCCAGTGCATGTTACCACCGCTTGGTTAGCGTCGGTAAACACAAGTGACGGATCAAGATCAATACGTGATTCACAAATTGCAAGTGTATCGCTCAAACAGTCAGGGGCGCGTCGGACCAGGGTTATGGTGACCTTTGCCCAATGACCTGTCTTATTTCATCGATGCTCTAGGAAGGACAAGTGCGATTATCGTTCATTCATTCACACAGGCGCGTCCGCGAGGCGGCGTTTATCGATTGTTTGGATCTGACATCTTACTCCACACACCGGCTCACCAGTCAATCGCGATTATTGTTTACTCGTTTACACATAAGTGTGCCAGAGCCCATCAGTAGACCGAATGTACGTGGCTTTGATGACCACCGCATTAGAGTGCCCCACAGAATTGCGGGAAAAAAATCTTTGATTCGAAACGAGACGATTTCTTTTTCAAAAAGACGTTCATCAATAGACACAGTGGGTGAAGTCTCTAATCAGATTACAGTAATCCTTTCGTGGTTTCATTCAATGAGAGGTTTGAACCCAGCTTTTATGAGAGTCGATCAGTGTGTGCGGATGCACAGCCACCCAAGCTTTCTTAATCAAATGCATGCCCATGAGGATGTCCACTTCGAATTTCATGCCAAGTTGCTCATTTCCGATCAAAGACAAACGTATTCCAGTAAATGTTTGCTAGACGAACATTTGAAAGACCAAATCACACCCTGATCCACTGAGTGCGACATGGAAGAATAGTTAGGAGGCAGCGTACTGATTTGAATACTGCGGCTTTGTTATGGCAAGGGGCGTTACCTATGAATAGTAAGATAGAGCTTCTTTGAAAAACCATCCTGCGATCGCACTTTTTGAAGTCAAGCGACAGTCTTAGATTGTTGGCATTGGTATGTCTTCCTCGCAAAGATTATGCAATTAGTGAACAGTGTCATGCTAGCGTCGCACTACGTGAAACGCCATTGGCTGGGTGTGACATTGCGGGGTGACTGGTCCATGGTCGTCCCGAACATCGGTCAACGAATAAGTGGCTAGGTATCAGGAACTGCGACATATCGAGGGGGCGATATTGCATGGTCAGAAGGTACGCTATTACGCAGAGGGTTCGTTTGGGTTTTCCAAAATGTGGGAAGATATTGGAAAATGCGACTTATCAGGGGTGCGACATAGTAGGAGATTGATCATATATATATATATATTTCACCCATATTTACAGATACGGCTCCCAAATACCCCTGGGTTGAACGTAAAGTTAAGAAACAGATAAGCAAGGAAATAAAAACAGTCCACTTTGTGAATGACGATTTTTTGTTGCACGAATATTAATAATATTGGGTAAGATTAGGTGATAATATTAGGTTACTGAATAAGTGAAAAATTTGCTTGATTTAGCAAATTATTCAACGCATCCCAGCTTACCAAACTAGTTATTTTATATTGTACTTTTCAAAAGTTGTGCTTAGGTAATACACCCGAATAACGAATTCTATTTTCGCTCCTTAGTATGACTAACTAAGGCCAAATAAGTGCCCAATGAGAGGAAAAACTGCTGGAATCTATTAATTTTACATACAATGATATTGTGTGATGGAACGGTGTGCAATGATGAACAAGGAGCGACAGACAGACGTTTCAACCTGGTTTTCAGAAAAGCCTTCTTTTTATTTCCCAATAAGGAAAAATCACTCGTTCAATGCTCATTGTCGGCCCTTAAACAAGCTTTTGCAACGAATAAAACATCAATCCAGTTGTGTATTGTAGAACCTATAAATATTACGGTATACGAAATTAGAATAACACAGACTCTAATGTCCGTGAATCTGCATGGGCTGGGATATGAACGCATTAGTGTACTTTGGCATTACGTTCAGTCGCTTGATGCAAAGAGAATGTTTTTCGGATAAAGATGTTGACCAAGTAGAGATTTTCATATGAGGCGGAAATGGACACAACGGGACACAACGATCAGAAATTCAGCCGACTCGTGTACGAAAGTCATTAACCTTAGCAATATTTCACCCTATTGACACCACAAACGGTGCAGTGTTTTATCCGGATAGTTTGAATTCAGCTATTTATAGAGTCAGAAGAAAGGAAACAATAGGTCTTCAATGAACTCACGTAACCGGTAGTCAAGATCTGATTCACGTATTCCAAACACGCTTCATTCCGCACCTTTTCATCCGTGAATATCAGCACAGCACCCGAACCTTGTACTCCAGTGATACGGTGAATGGATTTCAAGTCGTCTATGAAATTATTCAGCTGTGACGGCCTGTTTCAATAAAATAGACAATCTTTGTGAGGAATCCAAACCGATCACCAAACACAGAAGCATAATTGTAAACAAGAGTAATAATGAGTTTTGACGAAACTTGATCATGACCGGATCTTCATAAGGCAATCTCGTATACCTTTGACGTGTACGGTGAAGCTTTTCCTTTTTTGTGTTCACAGGTTCGCCCAGAATCCAAACCAGCCATACGCTGGCCACTTCCACGGTTATCTAATCATTCATGCTCGTTTGTATTGCAACGGTGAGGCAACTAATTCAACGGATGAAGGAATACTGCTCACTCTAAGGCAATGCACTCACCTACAATGGCCACCACTGATGCGTTAAACGTTCACCTCTTCGTACCTCAATTGTGCACTCAAAAACGACTTGTCCAAGCTCACCACTTACCCTGGTCCCAAATGTATCAAAAACATCACCAAAACTCTAATCACAATCGATTTTACCTAAACACAGGTAAGTGACAATTTGACGCGAGGACTCATCGAGCAGGGCTGAGGTTGGGTCCCACTCACCGCCCAGAATGACTTTTTCACTGCGCGTGAAACCGTGACCGCACTATCGACAAGCCGTTTTACGATCTGAACGGGTGGGATTCTGAGTCATTGGAAATAATTGTTGACTTTCGAACTGGTGTTCTAATGCTGCAGTGAGCTTATTCTGGATTTTTAAGGCAAAAGTAAATAAGAACAAACAACGATTCATCACATCACTAAATACCTTCAGAAAAACTGATACACAATCTAGAGTGGCGATGTTTTCCCAAGGATTTCCAACAACATTCATGCACATGATGAAATATTTTTAAGCTCACAGTAAACTGTCAAAATGTCAAATGACTAATGGTCTTTGGAAATCATTCACTTACGGTCAAACTATTGCCCAGACACATTTGTAAACTCCACTCTGCGTAGCTGAACACGGGAACGATCAAGGAAGTGGTTTCACACTTAGCTGAAACCAATCGCATGGTGAACGTAACCGAAGACTTCCACACACTGTAATCAGGTGGTGAAAGTTTCCATCCGAGTCCCAACCCTAGAGGCTAGTGCTGAGATGAGCGAGGGACGATACTCGCAACAAGCTCACAAAGACAGGTTGTGCTATATCGTGTGTATTCAAAATGACAAACGGTCTAATCAGCCGCCCGGTGTCCGAGTGGGTAGTCTGCTTGCGTTCTATTGTCAAGGTCCCGGGTTGGACCCCCAGTTGGGTCGATGTATTCATACTGCTGATGAGATCCAACCAAGTCGAAATAGCTGTCCAGTGCTTCCCAGCTTTTCAGCTCACGTCTCATTTACACGAAGAATTCATCATTTAACCAAATCCAATCATCCGTTACTAGTTTTAAATTGGATGCGGAGCATCTTACATTGGAGAAAAGATAGGCAGTCGCGTACACGGATCCAGAAGCAGATCTCATTTCGAGTTAGACGCCGATTGACCGAATCACATGATCAAAGGTTATTCTCCAATTTGACCCATCAAATCCACACACACGCATCATCCACCACTAACACACTCAATCGCATTACCGATATCAACCACCACTCTTATTCAAGGACACTGAGCAGACAAACAACTTGCGTCGTCTATCGCTCGACATCTGTTGACGACGAATCGTTGCCCGGGGCCCGACAAGCCGATTTAGAATCATTTGTGCAATAACCAACCCCCATCAGCTTCAGTTCGTGGAGTCGGTTGAAACTGAATGGAAAACTGGTCTGTGTACATAAAGAACTGTTCGCCACAAAGTGACTTCCCTAGTAGTGATAGGAAAGTGGTCATTCGACCTTATCGTATACGTGTGTAATCTAATGTCCTATTAAACGATATAAACTGCAGTTTTCTGCTCAATTGTACAATTGGAGATGCAGCGAAATCTGCTTTGGCATAAGTCGTGCAACCTAGCTTTGCTGGGCTTTCTCTTCCAGTTTATCTCAAGAAGTAGATGTTTCAGTTTTTTACAGTATGCTATGGTTATTTTTACCTCCCTCCTTGTGTCAATTTTCGAAAAGCAATTTATGAAAAGCAGAAGAAACGTAAAGAAAACCAATAATTATTTAAAATACAACACCACATACGTACACCAAAAACCATGCGCTTTTGCACATCTTGTTGCACTAGCTGAGCACATAACTCAGCTGATGGAGACCGAATTGTAAAATTGGAAATAAATTACGAAGCTGAAAGGTCCTGTATCACGTGTAACATCGCTCATTCCGCACAGGGACGCAAATGGTGCCAAATTTCTTTCTGTATAAACCCTAGAAGACATTCTATAACCGGGTGTAGTAATGTTGCCTCCTTAGTGAAAGAAAGTAAAAACTCAAAATAGCGCACAATGAAAACAAACCCAGTACATAACGCCTGTTGACCGCGCACTTTTTATCAGTTAATTCTATTGTTTTTTTAATATTATAATGGGGTCTTGAATATTATCTCGTAATGACCTTCCCTCTGATTCAAAGCAATCTAATACAAATTATAAATAATACCAATTAGACCTACCCGACTGTCAGACCACTGAACACTTCGTAACCAGCTATGCGTGCGCTAAGCCGAGCGAGAGATTGTTTCCCGGACCCAGATAATCCGACAAGGAGGATGTGGCCATTCGGGTTGCGAATCGCACGAGCAGTACGCACCAGATGGTGAATCGCATCAGTGAAGAAGATCAACTCGGCCGATTTAGTCTTCTCGTCTTCATTCAGTTGGTTTTGCAAATACAGCAGACGTTCGTGCAACTGATCAATGTCATACACCTGAACAAATACAAATACAAACCCATAATGAGCGCTTAGATTCCGAGTGCAGCTGGTTACTTATGTTTCCTAAAATTGAATAGCATGGAGTACAAAAGCACTGTAAAATAAAAATCATTCGATTAACTTACATTGAATTATACGACGCTAACAAAGGGGAATGGATTCTTACACTATGAATGTATTCGTGGTACATTCATTTGTGTCAAGTTTACTTCAGACATTTTTTATTCATACTTCACTAAAGTAGTTATAAATAGTAAGTTTTTTATTGCCCTGCACTTGGTGTTTGTCACGAATATGAATAATTTATTGCGTATTCTGGTGCAAATTGATTAAAGAATAACGGAACAAACGAAATTTGAGAGTGCGATGTCGAATCAGGAGTGAAACTAGAACGAAATACCTAAGTACTCATACTGCATTCGGCCACCGAGCCGTATGTCACCAATGTTGGTGTTTGGGTTTAATTCTCTTAAACTTTAGACCAATTGACCCGTTTAAATTAATTTGAGCTTCACATTTTCAAGTACACTTAACATTATTCAATTAGTATGATACCGGCCGATGAATAGATTTCTCAGTCTTTCTGTTGGGAAGTTGGTACCGAATAATAAACAGAACAAAAACAGAATTTTTTTATGGGTTTTGTAATGGAATTGTGCTTGTGTGTGATAATTTTTGTAGACGGCAAATAAAAGCGGTGCTATCTCAAAATTAAACATAACTGAGGAGATTTAAAACTACGAAATAACGCCAGTAATAGAGTGATAAACCAAACATTCATGATGGGCAAGAAGTGGCGAGCAATTCGGTACAATCATATTTGCTGCGGCCTATTCGGAATATCATGACCAGCATAAAACGGATGAAGATTGATTATTACTTTCTGGGTCATTGACGATTTCTTACAAGTCGTCAGCCAAAATCTGTTGTTTTTGGTTTTGTCTCGTTGTAGCTAATCCAAACATTCCTATACGGATCTAATTTCTTCCACATATTGGAAAACTCATTGCTTTCGTTGCCTTGTTCCTGTGTTTGGGTGTTAAGAAATCTCACAGACGTGACAATCCGTGAATATGTGGAGTAATGCAATTTACCGTTGCACCATGAATCTTACCGGCATTGATCAGACGGAACTGCACGCCAGTCTGTCGTAGATCGGCTGATGAGTGAAACGGTTTGATTTGTGGTGTAGCATTCGAAAGGTTATAAAGCGGAGGTAATGCTCATTATCTGTTACTGCTGATGGTCTTGATCTGTATTCTATAGAATTCTCCAAGGTTCCTGCAAGTTACTGAATGAGTCCCTAGAATACTTACTATGAGGTCATTGGTAACGTTTGACTTCTAGTGGGATGAACGAGCGAAATCCAAATCACCAATAAGAGCCAACAGTGTGTCATGCTACAGCTTCAATCTCCGACTAGGCAAGGAAATGCGGCCGTGCAACTTTGATAACATTAAGGAGGACCAACTGGGTGACCGCCTCGTAGCCGGTATCCACGACATGAGGTTGCGTAGGAAACCGGTGAGAGAAAAGTTAAGACTAGGCAAGTCAGAACTAGCTCAGGTGGGTGAATTTTCAGCTTTTGGTGGTTTGTCTATGGACATGAAATTTACAGAACTAGGTAAACTAAAATTAAAAATCTGACAACAGTTTTTTCTACATTGCCAAGCAATTACGTAATTATTTAGAAACTTCCTTCTTATTCACAAGCGGAAGTGTGAAAAAGTGTAAACAAGAATGACGATATAAGAATGTACGAGAAAATAAAATGTGGTAATCAGAATAGTACTGAATTTAGGAATACAAGAACCCGTACTGTACTGCTCAGAACTGAATTTCCTCCAACCTGAACTACGAACACCAATGAAATACACGAGGAATTGATAGCAGAAAATGCCTGTGTTTATTGATAGAATTAGATCATGTTTTATAGAATGTAATAGTCCATATGATTGGTTGAACGAGTATCCTCCAACCACGTAACCGTTCGCACCGACGCATCATATATACTGACTCGGATATCATGTTCGCCCGATGTACCGTTGGTCGAGCTTCCTGAACGGTGATTGGATCACATAAAACTGTACCTGGTCGCGCATGGATTGCGGTCACGGAAGTCTGGGTCACCACATAAAAATTCGAACTATAAGCCTGTATATAGAGGCTTTGAAAGATTACAGTGCAATGAATAACGAAAATCTGAGAGACCGTTATCAATCAATGAACGGATAGAGAGAGTCGCACCAGATATTGGTCAAGGTAAAATTTACGAGAGGGGGTCTCATAGTGCTAGCTGGGTACATCAATAAAGAAAACTGTTCATCCTTTATATGTCGATTTATCCGAATGCTGCTCGCATTCATCTACGCGTTATACATTTCGATTATTGCCCTCTCGCATTAACCCCTGCAGAAATTCCCCAGTTCCTTATCTCGCCAGAATCCTCGTAAACCGAGACAGCGTTTCTTCTGAATTTCTCAACAACCTTGGAGGTTAGACGTTTTACTCATTATTTTCCTTCCTTTGATGAAATATGTAATTTTTGATTGAAATGCGGACATCTGTTCACGCAAAAGTCCATACAAATGCAAATGAGATCTGGATACTGAGTGATCAGCAATATGTATGGAATTAGACAACAGCGACGGACATGAAGATGGCTGGGACAATGTGTGGAGGGGATGGTGGTTAGGGTGTCAAAAAGCTTGACCTTAAGTGAAAATAACCCTAAGGTAGTACACTCAGACGGAGAATACGCGTGTATTCATAAATTTAGGGATCAGCTTGTGGGAAATAGAAAGTATTCTTAATCAGAGTGAGAAATATGGCAGCTTTTTAATTTTTGGGAATACCTCTTTAACGTTCATGATGCATTGTTGTAAACAACCCTGCTGTAATTTACACGAATAACTTCGATAGCGAAAGCAAACTTATATACGTTACGAACCATGAGTTAACGTAAAGAGTTCATAGGTATTGTCGTTGTAATTCTGCACTCAGTATAAATTTATTCTAGACACTCTCAGTGACGAATCCATCGTCTCCACATCGATACTGAATCCTAAAAGACCCCGACTTTGTGATCCAACCGAGTTATTAGTGTTCCCGTATACAGACTACAATTGCCGGACAAGGTTCGAGTGATGGTGTAATCAGTGAAAAAATGGATTCACATAAATGCAATTTCTGGCCACAAAAAGCAGTCCCTCTATTCTAAGCCTGATTGCGATAAAAGAAAATGGGCGATTCGTGTACAAATGGGAGCAATGCAGACAAGATAATTACAAAGAGCAAAAAGGTTGGGAACAATAGCGTCTGCATTTTTTTGCGGTGACTGTGCAACGATTACGCAGGCACCACAAAAACACTTTCCAGCTGGCTAATCACCAGATTGAGTCCGACCTCCCCCCATCTTGTAGTCTCAAGTTGAAGCAACCGGATTGACTTTATGCGAAAAAGCGTACATTCTTAATTTGGTCATAGAATAACCGAAGAATGATTGTTTCACACTGCTCACTTTTAGTTGCATGGATTTTTGAATGAAATTAATCGTACCCGCCGCTCGTCTTGATTCTAATTGACTTTGTTTTATTCGGTGGGTTTTCAGTTGAGTTCCGATCACCATTCTGACTAGTACAGTTTTACCAGAAACCTCGTGTTACTGCATTCTGCATCTCTTCTATGTATGTATGTAATGATTGATCACCTAGTGTCCCAACAGAACTGGACGCATGGTAAACATCCACAAAGATCCGTAAGCCTAACTAGCATCGTATACAGTGGTTTAGAAGACTCAGTTCGAACGGAATTCTGTGACTTCCTCAGTCGGTATAGACTAATTAGCTCCATACAACACGGCTTCGACAAGAAGGTGCATGTTATAGAAACCATTCTGTGATTCTTAGACGAATTTAAATGAGGCTAGACAATGGACAGTGTCGACGGGTGCTACCTGAACGTCGATTTCTAGAGCTACCGGCTGCATCCCTAGAACCTAAGAGTTTGTTTTTCCCGTCGCTTCCCTCAAATAAGATATAATCCTACGAGCTTTCGTGAGAGAACCGACGGGTTTCACCTGAGTTTTGTGAATAAAGGACAGAGGGATTCTAGTTACTGAAGGCTTTAAATCCATTTGATTCGGAAAGATATCGTCCAAACCCAGGACCATTTCGTTCGCTGCTAGTGACTTAATCAGCGAATTTGGACAACCAATAAAATATTTTAGTGCACAACACTGCAGGTGACTGCATAACGTTCGGTGCTTCCATAGTTCACTTCAGTACCGTTGGAACGATCATTAACCAAGGTCAACTGTGCTATCTTTTGGCTGCTCATTTAGATGAAGAGGAAGGATGAAATGATGAGAGGAGTATGAAGGTAAAATAGAGAATTCATGTAGACTAAGGATTTTAGGACAAGGAGTAGATACACGGGCGCCGCTGTTTATGACACTCTGTCACACCACTGAAATATTTATCGCCGTTGAAACATCCGACGTTGACTGTGGATGTTTCAGACGTTGACATCGAAAACAGTAGTTGAACAGGATTTTGTCCCGTCGTTTGCATCCCTCACCCATTGAATGCGACTAAAAAAGATAATCCGGTAAGAGAAAGAGGCATTGGCCATAAACTGGGCTGTCCGGCGGTTACAGATCTAACTGTTTCAAGTAGGGCTGACAAGGATCATCAAGCACTTTAATATCTTTTCAGTTTTAACATATCGGTCACTGAATCTACCATAGCTAGGTCCCGCGGTGGAGAAGGTCGTCGACCGCTTAAAAATACGATATCACTCACCGAAAAAACGATTCCACAAGCGGATTGTCGGTCCAAATGTCCGGGGTTCTCACTGACAAAGAGCTGTCCCTTCACTGTGCCGGTTGCTTTGCTATCACTGGTGGGGTTGAGGAACCACATGAGACGGTACTATTCAGAGATGACAACGGCCCCGTTGGTTCCTGGGGGGGGGTAATTTATGCTGCCAGGTAAAATTTTATGCATTATTGACGGCCTAATAATGTTATCTTAATCATGTAAGACGGTGACGAAGGATGTTCATAGGGACCATCGATGGTGGGGGAGTTGAAATTGCTGGCGCGGCAGACGTGTTGGTGGCCCGGTCTGAAAGAAGGTATCAAGTGAACGGCTATTACTCGTGAAACTTGTTTCCAAAAAATGCATTCAAGACAGCAGAATTTGACCCTATGAAGGAAGAAATATTTAGTATGACAACGAGTACATGCAGATTTCTATGAACTGCTAATTGACCACTAGCAGTTAATGATACTTGTGGACTCCTATGCAATACTGCGAGAGTTGTTTCTGCCAAGTACACCCACCACATCGTTGATGATACGAGCCCTACGAAAACCACTCAGTCGAGAGCATTTCACAAGTATTGGTAACGGATAACGCAGATCCTTACGGTGGAAAAACAAGGCGTGGTTAGATAGCTACAATCGTCGTCATTTGCGAACACAACCCCCACTCGAATGACAACTAAGAATTTGGTGAAAATTTCCATTGCATTAGAGAAACCGAAAAAGCATCGGAGTTGGAGATGTGGTTGATACAGTACAGAAGCGCGGTGCACCCGAGCACCAAACGGAGACCATCCAAGTTTGCAAGGCGCAGAGCCTACGATCCTCATTAAATACATGGATTTCAGTGGAA